GGTTAAATATCTGTAAAACCATCGTGACGACCTCAAGCTCCGTGAGATTCTTCATTCCCCCGACAATGAAAGAACATCAGACCAAGAAGCAGAACAAGGTAAATGTTGGAGAAACTGTGGACAATCATCAGTTGGACATTTTCATATATTCTGGCAATGTCCCAAGATCGCCCCCTATTGGACAGAAATGATTAAAACCATCAAGTTTATTACAGATTGAAACTGGAGCAAAGTTTTAGCGAGTTTTATTTGGGAAACACCAACCAGGCTGAAAAAAAAAACCACAGATACGACAAGAAGCAGCAAGAAAACGACAAACCTCCTGTTTCAGAACAAACTGATATAATCAACCAAATTCAGATTATGGAACGAATAACTTTTTTTTTTTTCCAAATATTTTTGTTAAGAACCTTAACAGAAAATATACAATGAAAAATATATTTTTAAAAAATGTCTTATCCCTTATGGTCATGAGCTCTGGGTAGTGACCGAAAGGACGAGATCGCGGATACAAGCGCTCGAAATGAGTTTCCTCCGCAGGGTGGCTGGGCGTCTCCCTTAGAGACAGAGTGAGGAGCTCAGTCACACGGGAGGAGCTCGGAGTAGAGCCGCTGCTCCTCCACGTGGAGAGGAGCCAGTTGAGGCTCGGGCATCTGTTCCGGATGCCTCCTGGGCGCCTCCCTCGGGAGGTGTTCCGGGCATGTCCCACGGGAGGAGGCCCCGGGGAAGACCCAGGACACACTGGAGGGACTATGTCTCTGGACTGGCCTGGGAACGCCTCGGGGTCCCCCCGGAGGAGCTGGAGGAAGTGTCTGGGGTGAAGGAAGTCTGGGAGTCCCTGCTTAGGCTGCTGCCCCCGCGACCCGGCCCCGGATAAGCGGATGAAAATGGATGGATGGATGGATGTCTTATCCCCTCCAATTACACACGCACAATGTAATAAACCTGCATAAAATACAAACATCAACAATATACATGTACAGAAAATCAAAAATAATAATAGGATTTTTTCCTTTTTCATAAAGAACATCCCCCCCAACCCGTCTCAGCTCAACGCTAAACCACATACACCACAGCACATCAGTCAAATATGAAATATTCATATTATTCCTAATTACAGAAACAGCAGGTTCCAGTTCGAACAGGAGGGAGGAGCTGGGACATTCACACTGGTGATTCACATATTAGAAAAATAAGAAATAAAGCAGTGCCACACCTGGAAAAATCGATCTGTACATCCCCTTAATGTAGATTACGTTTTTTCAAGTTTTAGAAACACCTCCATATCTTTAAGCCAAAGTGAAAAACAAGGACATTTGTCAGATTCCAGTGTAACAGCGACGTCCGTCTGCAGTCAGAGAAGGAAACATTTTCTTTAAGACACTTGTCAGACAAAGGAGAAGTGTCCTGGAAAAAGTGGAAATCTTACAATCAAAACAAAACTGAATGTAAAAATGTTGTATAAATCTTTGCAGATGTCACCAGCCTCGTATTTTATTTCTGTTTATTTTTAATTTTCTTACTTTTTTGGTCATTTTTTTAAATGTATTTTGTTTCACAAAACTAATCCTTTGTGTAAATATGTGATATACTCAGTGTAGTGAAGTTTACTTTTCAAATGTAATCCCCTACAGATTACAGATTACAGACCCCAGAATGTAGTTTGTAACAGAATCCATTAAATTACTTCAAGTGAGTAATGTAATCTGATTACTTTGGATTACTTGATTTGTTGCAGAGAAACAAAGACGAGGAAATCTTCACATGAGAAGTTTTAATTAAAAGAAAATCTTGATGAACGATGGACGAGGAGGAGACACGCCCACACAGGTGTGACCAGGTGTGACCAGGTGTGACCAAGTGTGACCAGACTAACCCTAACCCCAAAAGAGAAGAAGTGTAGGAGACACGGTTCTAGAGAAAATCTGTGAATTTGTGTAATTCCACAAATTTGAATCACATTTTACAAACAGAATTTTCAGTTTTACCAATGTATTTTTTAAAAATTATTTTCTTCATTATTTATTTTTTAGAAATGAAAAAACATTTACAAATCCACATTCATTTGTAAAGAGCAAAATACAAGTTACAAATATTAAATGTGGATTTGTGTTTTTTTTTAATGAATCTTTGATAAACAGAGAGACAGGGGGCGTGTCCAGGTGGAGTGGGCGGGGCTTGTGTGCAGGTGAGTGAGGCAGGGGGCGTGTCCAGGTGGAGTGGGCGGGGCTTGTGTGCAGGTGAGTGAGGCAGGGGGCGTGTCCAGGTGGAGTGGGCGGGGCTTGTGTGCAGGTGAGTGAGGCAGGGGGCGTGTCCAGGTGGAGTGGGCGGGGCTTGTGTGCAGGTGAGTGAGGCAGGGGGCGTGTCCAGGTGGAGTGGGCGGGGCTTGTGTGCAGGTGAGTGAGACAGGGGGCGTGTCCAGGTGGAGTGGGCGGGGCTTGTGTGCAGATGTTGCAGGTGAAGTTTAGTCCAGATTCAGTTCAGATAAGATCTGAGACCATGAACTCTGCTCTGAAACTGTGGAGATGGATCAGGTAAGACCAGGACTAAACCAGGACTAAACCAGGACTAAACCAGGACTAAACCAGGTCTAAACCAGGACTGAACCAGGACTAAACCAGGACTAAACTGGGACTAAAACAAATCTGAACCAGGACTGAACCAGGACTAAACCAGGACTGAACCAGGACTAAACTGGGACTAAAACAAATCTGAACCAGGACTAAACCAGGACTAAACCAGGACTGAACCAGGACTAAACCAGGTCTAAACTAGGACTAAACCAGGTCTAAACCAGGACTAAACCAGGACTAAACTGGGACTAAAACAAATCTGAACCAGGACTGAACCAGGACTAAACCAGGACTGAACCAGGACTAAACTGGGACTAAAACAAATCTGAACTAGGACTAAACCAGGACTAAACCAGGACTAAACCAGGTCTAAACCAGGACTGAACCAGGACTAAACCAGGACTAAACTGGGACTAAAACAAATCTGAACCAGGACTGAACCAGGACTAAACCAGGACTGAACCAGGACTAAACTGGGACTAAAACAAATCTGAACCAGGACTAAACCAGGACTAAACCAGGACTGAACCAGGACTAAACCAGGTCTAAACTAGGACTAAACCAGGTCTAAACCAGGACTAAACCAGGACTAAACTGGGACTAAAACAAATCTGAACCAGGACTGAACCAGGACTAAACCAGGACTGAACCAGGACTAAACTGGGACTAAAAAAAAATCTGAACTAGGACTAAACCAGGACTAAACCAGGTCTAAACCAGGACTGAACCAGGACTAAACCAGGACTAAACCAGGTCTTAACCAGGACTGAACCAGGACTAAACCAGGACTAAACTAGGACTAAACCAGGACTGAACCAGGACTGAACCAGGACTAAACCAGGTCTAAACCAGGACTGAACCAGGACTAAACTGGGACTAAAACAGATTTGAACCAGGACTAAACCAGGTCTAAACCAGGACTAAACTGGGACTGAACCAGGACTGAACCAGGTCTAAACCAGGACTAAACCAGGACTAAATCAGGGTTAAATCAGGACTAGGTTTTTCCCTGGGGCTTAAACCGTTGTATTAAAGTTGGAATGTGGAGGAGACTGTGGCATCAACAGATCAAAGAAAAACTGGTTTGGAATCTGGTTTGGTCCTGGTCCAAGACATTTTTGCAGAGGAAATCAAGACCTCAGGTCTGAACCAGGACTGAACCAGGACTAAACCAGGACTGAACCAGGACTAAACCAGGTCTGAACCAGGACTAAACCAGGACTAAACAGGACTGACTGAGAGACCAAGATTGAATCAGGACTGAACCAGGACCATACAAGGTCTAAACTAGGTCTGAACTATTTGGTTAAAATGGTCAACAAAAGGTCAGGACTTAAACTGGACTAAACCAGGACTAAACCAGGACTAAATCAATAATAATCCTGTTCTGGTTTTGCTGTTTGGTGTTTTGTGTTGAGTGTTGTTGTGTCCACACTGTCCACCAGAGGGCGACACACTCCACTGTGTCACACAGGAGCAGGACCTGAACCAGAATCCAAACTAGATCCTCAGTTTTACAAGAATTGATATTAAAAAAGACAGAGCAGAACCAGGTTCAGACCGGGAATAGTCCAGACTCAGGACCAGACCCAGGACCAGACCCAGGACCAGGTTCAGACCCGGTTCAGTCCCAGTTGAGTCGTGACTGTTGAGCTTCACCTGGTGTTTTGTTTTGTGCAGAGACATGGCGTTGAGTCTGGTGCCCGGGTGAGTCTCTTTCACATTTTAACCCTTGTATTTGTTCCGTTGAATCTGATGTGAGTCTGTTTGTGTTTCAGACTCCACAGCTCCTCTTCACCTGTGAGTATTTTACCATTTTTCTGCTTCTGAAACTTCAAACTCAGGTTGTGATTTTGTGGATAAAACAAGAGACTTTCACTTTAACCTGGGTCACTGTATCTGAAGTTAAAGCTTCACTGTGGAGCTTTTCTGGGGGAGGGTTGATACTTTCTTCAGTTTATCCAGGGTCTCAGGGGCATCGGTCTGAGCAGTGACTCACAGACTTCCCTCTCCCCAGACACTGATGGACTCTTGTGCTGAACATAAATTTTGTTTTGGACAAACTGTGACTCACAGAACAACGACAACAAACATCAGTCAGGTTCAGATCAGGAGAACGTTTCTCCTGAGCTCCTCTCTCCAGGTTTCACTGTCTCTGCCCACGTGGATGTTGAAGTCCCCCAGTAGAACAACAGAGTCCCCGGTCGGTGCACCGTCTAGTCCCTCCCAGGGCCTGGCAGAAGGTCGGGTACTCGAGTACTCTGCACTGCTGTTGTTCCTGTAGGCGACACCACAGTGAGACTTGTCCCCGACCTGAAGACGCAGGGACGAGACCCTCTCGTTCACCAGTTGTTTGGTTCTGGTTTGGTTCTGGTTCAGATTCAAACCTGGATCTTCTCTCTGTTGTAGGTGGAGTCTGTGTCGTACATGACCCTGAACGTCACCGTGCTCCGAGCCAAGACCGAGACCAACCAGGACTTCTGTGAGGACGGGAGGGCATCTGGGGCACGGGGAGGGCACAGTCTGGTTTAGTCCTCATCTAGTACTGGTTTAATCCTGGTTTAGTCATGGTTTAGTCCTGGTTTAGTCCTGGTTCAGTCCTGGTTTAGTCCTGACCTCAGTCCGGTCTTTCAGGGTCTCAGTCGGACCTGTACGTGACTCTGACGTTGCCGACGGCGATGGCCACGATTCGAAGAACCAAAACCATCAACCGCAACGACCAACCTGTGTGGAACGAAGGCTTCAGCTTCAGAGTCCCCACAAAGACCAAGGTCAGTCCTGGAGTCTAGTCCTGGTTTAGACCTGGTTCAGTCCTGGTTCAGTCCTGTTTGTCTGTAGAACGTTCTGGAGATCCGTCTGTTTGATGAGGACCTTCTCTCGAAAGACGACCTGATCTCCACCGTCCTCCTCGACCTGGAGACTCTGGAGCTCGACTCGAAGATCTGCAGGTCCTTCAGCCTGAACCCAGAGGTCAGGGGTCACTCTGGAACTGTTACCTAGCAACCATCAACAACTGTCCCAACACGGGGTTAAATTATACACTCACCTGTCTCACCTGTAACTCACCTGTAACTCACCTGTAACTCACCTGTAACTCACCTGTAACTCACCTGTCTCACCTGTAACTCACCTGTAACTCACCTGTCTCACCTGTAACTCACCTGTAACTCACCTGTCTCACCTGTAACTCACCTGTAACTCACCTGTACCTGTAACTCACCTGTCTCACCTGTCTCACCTGTAACTCACCTGTAACTCACCTGTAACTCACCTGTAACTCACCTGTAACTCACCTGTCTCACCTGTAACTCACCTGTAACTCACCTGTCTCACCTGTAACTCACCTGTAACTCACCTGTCTCACCTGTCTCACCTGTAACTCACCTGTCTCACCTGTAACTCACCTGTAACTCACCTGTCTCACCTGTAACTCACCTGTAACTCACCTGTAACTCACCTGTCTCACCTGTAACTCACCTGTAACTCACCTGTAACTCACCTGTCTCACCTGTAACTCACCTGTAACTCACCTGTTTCACCTGTAACTCACCTGTAACTCACCTGTCTCACCTGTAACTCACCTGTAACTCACCTGTACTTTACCTGTCCTGTACCTGTCCTGCACCTGTCCTGCACCTGTCCTGTCCCTGTTGTGTTCAGACGCAGGACGCTCTGGAGGTGGAGTTTGAGTTGACCAACAGGTGAGTTTTGATCTTTGACGTTTGTGTATTTTGGACAGAGTTGGATTTGTTGGTGTTGTTCACAGTCGCTGTTTTCTCTGCTCTGTCTAAATGTTCTTTGTGTTTCCAGTGAAGAGGAGACTCAGGAGTACCTGTCCAACGGGATCCTGATGGTGAGTGCCTCTGTCAGCACCAGCTTTAGGCTTAAACCAGATGCCCCGCAGGAGGCTTCAGGTCTGAGCTCGTCTGTGTTCAGGGACCAGGGTCAGATGTGTGTTCTTCTCTAAAGTCCAGCTCAGCTCAGGAGGAAACACCACAACAAGTCACACACAAAGATCCAATAAAACACAAAGATCCAACAAAACACAAAGATCCAACAAAACACAAAGATCCAATAAAACACAAAGATCCAATAAAACACAAAGATCCAATAAAACACAAAGATCCAATAAAAACAAAAGATCCAACAAACACAAAGGTCCATAAAACAAAAGATCAATAAAAACACAAAAAACACAAGATCCAATAAAACACAAAGATCCAAAAAACAAAAGATCCAAAACAAAAGATCAAAAACACAAGATGCAACAAAACAAAGATCAAAAACAAAGATCCAATAAAACACAAAGATCCAATAAAACACAAAATCCAATAAAACACAAAGATCCAATAAAACAATCCAAAAAACACAAAGGTCCAAAAAACAAAAGATCCAACAAAACAACAAAACCAAAGATCCAAAAAACACAAAGATCCAACAAAACACAAAGATCCAATAAAACAAAAGATCAAAACAAAGATCAAAACAAAGATCCAAAAAACACAAAGATCCAACAAAACACAAAGATCCAACAAAACACAAAGATCCAATAAAACACAAAGATCCAATAAAACACAAAGATCCAACAAAACACAAAGATCCAATAAAACACAAAGATCCAATAAAACACAAAGATCCAATAAAACACAAAGATCCAATAAAACACAAAGATCCAACAAAACACAAAGATCCAACAAAACACAAAGATCCAATAAAACACAAAGATCCAATAAAACACAAAGATCCAATAAAACACAAAGATCCAACAAAACACAAAGATGCAAACAAACACAAAGATCCAATAAAAAAAAAGATCAAAAAACACAAAGATCCAATAAAACACAAAGATCCAATAAAACACAAAGATCCAATAAAACACAAAGATCCAACAAAACACAAAGATCCAATAAAACACAAAGATCCAATAAAACACAAAGATCCAACAAAACACAAAGATCCAATAAAACACAAAGATCCAATAAAACACAAAGATCCAATAAAACACAAATCCAATAAAACACAAAGATCCAACAAAACACAAAGATGCAACAAAACACAAAGATCCAATAAAACACAAAGATCCAATAAAACACAAAGATCCAATAAAACACAAAGATCCAACAAAACACAAAGATCCAACAAAACACAAAGATCCAACAAAACACAAAGATCCAACAAAACACAAAGATCCAACAAAACACAAAGGTCCAACAAAACACAAAGATCCAACAAAACACAAAGATCCAATAAAACACAAAGGTCCAACAAAACACAAAGATCCAACAAAACACAAAGATCCAACAAAACACAAATGGACTCTGTGAGCTTTAAAGGTGCAATGCGGAACTTTTCTGGAGAAGAGTCCAGCATCTGATTGTCTTCATTGAGATGTTTTACCATTTGCCTGAAATGTTCCATAGTAGGGCATTAAATGTATCTGTCTCCATGGAGACAGTCAGGAGACGCTGCCAGGACACGTTATGTACAAGATTAAACTTAGACTTAGACAGACTTAGACTTACACAAACTTTAGACTTAAACTTAAACAAACTTTAGACTTAAACTTAAACAAACTTTAGACTTAAACAAACTTAGACTTAAACAAACTTAAACTTAAAAAACAAACTTTAGACTTAAACAAACTTAGACTTAAACAAACTTTAGACTTAAATTTAAACAAACTTTAGACTTAAACTTAAACAAACTTTAGACTTAAACTTAAACAAACTTTAGACTTAAACAAACTTTAGACTTAAACTTAAACAAACTTTAGACTTAAACTTAAACAAACTTTAGACTTAAACAAACTTAGACTTAAACAAACTTTAGACTTAAACTTAAACAAACTTTAGACTTAAACAAACTTAGACTTAAACAAACTTTAGACTTAAATTTAAACAAACTTTAGACTTGCACTTAAACAAACTTTAGACTTAAACTTAAACAAACTTAGACTTAAACAAACTTTAGACTTAAACTGAAACAAACTTTTGACTTTAGATTTAAACAAACTTTTGACTTTAGATTTAAACAAACTTTAGACTTAAACTTAAACAAACTTTAGACTTTAGATTTAAACAAACTTTAGATTTAAACTTAAACAAACTTTAGACTTAAACAAACTTTACTGATCCACAAGGACATGATTTGGAGCCAGGAGCTCACACATCCCGATCTAATCTAATAAGAAAGAGTCAAACATCTGTGTGGGATATTTACAGAAACATCGACCTGTGAAAACCACAGAGGAAAAGTGAAGTGATGTTGGGCGTGTAAACGGACACATCGTCCTCTCACTGAACGAGCTGGAACATCACTCAAACTTCACAGCGTTGGTCCATGAGACTAAAGGACTGTTTGGTCAGATCGAAGTGCGTGGGCCGTTTGTTTTAATGACGTGGAACGACCCAAGACTGAAAAAATCCAACTGATTCTAGCAAAAGTGTTTAGAGTTTTTAAAAAATGACCACATGACATCACAAGGTGGAACAGAGTGTTTTCTGTTTGAACTCAGTGTAAATGTACAGTTTGTGAATGAAACAAAACACGACTCCAGGTCTGAGCGACGAGGAAACGACATCAGAACATAAATCTGTCCGTCAAAGTCCAAACTTGTCATAAAAATGATCTTGAACTTGTTTTTCAGGCGGCTCCTCTGTCTGTGCTCAACGTCAAAGTGCAGAAGCTCCTCCACACTCACCGTAAGAGACGAGACACTGACCCCTGACCCCTGACCTCTGACCCCTGACCACTGACCCCTGACCCCTGACCCTGGAATTTATGATGCACAATACACAGAATAATTCCTAAATGTCTTTGAGCTGCTCTGAAGCGGCTGGAGAGACACTGGAAGCTCCGGAGCTTCAGGCTGGAGACTCCTGGTCCAGATGTTCTTGGAGCTAAAATCCTCTTGACAGTTTGGTCCTGACCAGGTTTGTTTCCTGAAGCTTTGGCAAAACTGGACGGGCCAAAAAAGTCACTTTCACTTTAGCCCCCCCCCTCTGTCTGTTTGTTTATCTGTTTGTTTCTTCAGTTTGTTTGTGTCCAGTTCTGTCTTTTCTCTTTCTGTTTCTGTGTTTATTTCTGTGTTTGTTGGTTTCGTTTCAGTTCTGTCCTCGTCTCCGATGTTGACTCTGTGTGGAGCCTATGAGAAGGTTCAGCCTCTGGATCCGGACACAGACAAACTCGTGTTCCACATGAACCGAGAGCTGGAGACGCAGCTCGCGCTCACCGTGAGCATCTACTCCAACATCTGTTTGTCTGTTTGTTTGGAAAAATCACCACATTCACAGAGTCCAGAGCCACAGAAACCCAGAGCAGCAAACATGAAAAAAAAAAAGACACAATTTGAGTTTTTTTTTTTTTTTTTTGTATTTTTTGGAAACCAACAAGTCAAAAAAAATAGGTTTCTCATCTTTTTTTTCTCTCTCTTTTTTTGCACATTCAGCTAAAAAAAAGTATTTATTCATTGTTTTGCTGTTTACGTGACTGATGAAAAAATATATAACATCAAACGCTCCAGAGCCTAAGTGTTTTCCCAGTACATTAGTTTATATACTAATACTGTTACTAGTAAAACTACCAGTGTTTGACAAATAAATAAATAAATGAATGAATAAATAAATAAATTGAAAAAAAAAAAAAAAAAAAGCTGTTTGTGCAAAAAAGGCAAGAAACATTTTTTTGAGTTGCTGGTAATAAGTTTTAGTTTTTCAAATCAGAAAAACTAATTATGTTTCATGTCTTTTTTTTTTTTTTGCACAAACAGCTAAATATCAAACACTCCAGAGCCTAAGTTATATTATACAGTATATTAGTTTTAGAAAAAAAATCTGTTTGTGCAAAAACTGTACTGTACTACAGTACTGTGTACTACAGTACTGTGTACTACAGTACTGTGTACTACAGTACTGGGTACTACTGTACAGTACTGTAGTACAGTACAGTAGTACACAGTACTGTAGTACAGTAGTAGTAGTAGTACACAGTACTGTAGTACACAGTACTGTAGTACACAGTACTGTAGTACAGTATAGTAGTACACAGTACTGTAGTACACAGTACAGTACTGTGTACTACAGTACTGTAGTACACAGTACTGTGGGAAATGGAAACACTGATGATCACCTGGTCTCACTCTGATGTTTGTTTGTTGTTTGTTTGTTGTTTGTTTGTTTGTTGTTTGTTTGTTTGTTGTTTGTTTTGTTTGTTGTTTGTTGTTTGTTGTTTGTTGTTGTTTGTTTGTTGTTTTTGTTTGTTTGTTTGTTTGTTTGTTGTTTGTTTGTTGTTGTGTTGTTGTTTGTTTTGTTTGTTGTTTGTTTGTTTGTTTGTTTGTTTTTGTTTGTTTGTTTGTTTGTTTGTTGTTGTTTGTTGTTTGTTTTTGTTTGTTGTTTGTTTGTTTGTTTGTTTGTTTGTTGTTTGTTTGTTGTTTTTGTTTGTTTGTTGTTTGTTTGTTTGTTTGTTTGTTGTTTGTTTGTTGTTTGTTTGTTTGTTGTTTGTTTGTTGTTTGTTGTTTGCTTATTAGTTGTTTGTTTGTTTGTTGTTTCAGATGAAGGCGACAGAAGAAACTGATGTGGAGAAAACAGAGGTGGTTTTATCAGCTGTTCATCTGAAGCCCCTCCCCCCTCGCCACTCAGGAAACGTCTCCCTCACCGTGGACCAGGTATAAATACTACTGCAAATACTACTACTGCAAATACTACTACTGCAAATACTACTACTGCAAATACTACTACTGCAAATACTACTACTACCAAGAACTCCCAACCAAACTGTTCTCCTCAGATGTTTCTCCAGGTTCAGTCGTTTCTTCTCTTTGACCCTGTGAAGTTTCTTTGGAGTGATTCATATTTGAGAAACTTTAATCTACACGTGTCAAACATACGGCCCGGGGGCCAGATTAAAGGTCTTGGAGGGCCGGATCTGGCTGATTTTCTACTAAAATATTTGAATTATATTTTCTATTTAAATATTGGTAATTTGGTCTCCAGAGCCTCTGTACGTGGCCCCTCCCACCAGAGTCTCTGTACGTGGTCCCCTCCCACCAGAGCCTCTGTACGTGGTCCCTCCCACCAGAGTCTCTGTACGTGGCCCCTCCCACCAGAGCAGCACAAATGAAGACTTGTCTCTTTCCAAACGTCTTAAAGGACGATGGTTTTGACTGTTGACCGTGACCCTCATCAGAAAAATGTCCAACATGAGAAAAGTGGAGCCGAGTGCAGAATTTTACAACAAAAATTTACTTATTCCTGTTTACAGACAAGTTCATGTTCAAACTTTGTGTTGAAATTGTATTTTTCTTCAAGTTTCAGGTTGTTCATAATATTATAATATTTAGTAAAACAAAGAGTTCATCAATTCAAAAAGATTTCTGTAATAGATTTGTGTTTCTCTGCATAAATATTGAACTTCTTGTTGTTTTTGGGGTTTTTATGACATGAGTTTTCTGATCCGGACACTTTGGATCAAAGTCGGTTGGACTCAACCCCCGGAACAACATGAGTTTAACACCCCTGATTTAATCTTTTATTTTGAAAGACTTTTCAAGAAGTTTTATTGCTCTGCCCTCGTTTTCAGCTCCACCAGTTTAGTCCTGGTTTAGTCCTGGTTTAGTTTCTAACGCTGTTGTTTTTAGGTCAATATTGAGATTTAAAATGTCACAAAGGTTCAGAATTTATGATGGAAACTTTGAAAATCCCGACTGAAGTGTGTTTGTTGTTTCAGGAAACTGTGGATCTGCACCTGGAGCTGAACGACAGGTCCTCACTGTTTCTCTGTGACTCTGACTTAAAGACACTGTGGAACTTTTCTTGTAGAGGCTCCGTCAGACGCTTTTCTCCATGGAGATGTTTTTACTGTAGTTTGTCTGGAATGTCCCACAGTGTGGCATTAAACCGTTCTGTCTTCACGGAGACCAAACCAAGACCAAGTTCCAGGTCAGATCTGTGGAGCGGCGACTCGCTCACAGACAGAAGGTGGAGGTGTTTTTTACGGGGACAAACAGAACGACTCAAAGCAAAGTGTCAGAGAAAAGAACTTGAAGAAAAGAAACGATTCACAAAGTCAAAGACGAGTTTAAACGAGGAACAAACAAAGAACGAGGAGCAAATAAAACAAAAACATAAAGACAAAAGTGTCGTCGTCAAATGTGGATTTGCATCATTTCTCTTCTTGAAGTTCGTTTCTCTGACACTTTGTTTTGGGCCGATGGCCTCACCCCAAAAACTCCACAATAAAACTTTAATCTGGAGACAGAGTGAAGGAGGAAACATGTGTCCTCCTCTCTCCCTCTGTCCTCATCATCCTCCCTGTGTCTCTGTGTCTCTGTGTCTCTGTCCCTCTGTGTCTCTGTGTCCTCTGTGTCTCTGTGTCCTGTGTCTCTGTGTCTCTGTGTCTCTGTGTCTCTGTGTCTCTGTCCCTCTGTGTCTCTGTGTCTCTGTGTCCCTGTGTCTGTGTCTCTGTGTCTCTGTCCCTCTGTGTCTCTGTGTCTCTGTGTCTCTGTCCTCTGTGTCTCTCTGTGTCTCTTGTCTCTGTGTCTCTGTCTCTGTCTTGTGTCTCTGTGTCTCTGTGTCTGTCTCTGTGTGTCTCTGTGTCTCTGTGTCTCTGTGTTCTGTGTCTCTGTCTCTGTGTCTCTCTGTGTCTCTGTCCCTCTGTTCTTGTGTCTCTGTGTCTCTGTCCCTGTGTTCTCTCTGTGTCTCTGTCTCTGTGTCTGTGTCTCTGTGTCTCTGTGTCCTGTGTCTCTGTGTCTCTGTCTCTGTGTCTCTGTCTCTGTGTCTCTGTGTCTCTGTGTCTCTGTGTCTCTGTGTCTCTGTGTCTCTGTGTGTCTCTGTGTCTCTGTGTCTCTGTGTGTCTCTGTGTCTCTGTGTCTCTGTGTTCTGTGTCTGTGTCTCTGTGTTCTGTGTCTCTGTGTCTCTGTGTGTCTCTGTGTCTCTGTCTCTGTGTCTCTGTGTCCTGCTGTCCTCTGTGTCTCTGTGTCTCTGTGTCTCTGTCCTTCTGTGTCCTGTCTCTGTGTCTCTGTGTCTCTGTGTCTCTGTGTCCTCTGTGTCTCTGTGTCTCTGTGTCTCTGTGTCTCTGTGTCTCTGTCCTTCTGTGTCTCTGTGTCTCTGTCTCTGTCTCTGTGTCTCTGTGTCTCTGTCCTCTGTGTCTCTGTGTCTTGTGTCTCTGTGTCTCTGTGTCTCTGTGTCCTGTGTCTCTGTGCTCTGTGTGTCTCTGTGTCTCTGTGTCTCTGTGTCCTCTGTGTCTCTGTGTCTCTGTGTCTCTCTGTCTCTGTGTTCTCTGTGTCTGTGTCTCTGTCCCTCTTGTGTCTCTGTGTCTCTGTGTCTCTGTGTCTGTGTCTCTGTGTCTCTGTGCTCTGTGTCTCTGTGTCCCTCTCTGTGTCCTGTGTCTCTGTCCTCTGTGTCTCTCTGTGTCTCTGTGTCTCTGTGTCTCTGTGTGTCTGTGTGTCTCTGTGTCTCTGTGTCTCTGTGTCCCTGCTGTGTCCCTGTGTCTCTGTGTGTCTCTGTGTCTCTGTGTCTCTGTGTCTCTGTGTCGTGTTCTGTGTTCTCTGTCCCCCTGTGTCTCTGTCTCTGTGTCTCTGTGTCTCTGTCGCTCTGTCTCTGTCTTGTCCCTCTGTGTCTCTGTGTCCTGTGTCCCTCCTGTGTCTCTGTGTCTCTGTGTCTCTGTGTCTGTGTCTCTGTGTCTCTGTGTCTCTGTGTCTCTGTGTCTTGTCTCTGTGTCTCTGTGTCTCTGTGTCTCTGTCCCTCTGTGTCTCTGTGTCTCTGTGTCCTGTGTCTCTGTCCTCTGTGTCTCTGTGTCCTCTGTCCTCTGTGTCTCTGTCCCTCTGTGTCTCTGTCCTCTGTGTTCTGTGTCTCTGTCGTCTGTCCCTCTGTGTCCTCTGTGTCCTGTGTCTGTGTGTTCTCTGTGTGTCTCTTGTGTCTCTGTGTCTGTCCTCCTGTGTCTCTGTGTCTCTGTGTCTCTGTGTCTCTGTGTCTCTGTGTCTCTGTGTCTCTGTCCCTCTGTGTCTCTGTGTCTCTGTCCCTCTGTCTCTGTGTCTCTGTGTCCTCTGTGTCTCTGTGTCTCTGTGTCTCTGTGTCTCTGTGTCTCTGTCCCTCTGTGTCTCTGTGTCTCTGTGTCTCTGTGTCTCTGTCCCTCTGTGTCTCTGTGTCTCTGTCCCTCTGTGTCTCTGTGTCTCTGTCTCTGTGTCTCTGTGTCTCTGTCCCTCTGTGTCTCTGTGTCTCTGTGTCTCTGTGTCTCTGTCCCTCTGTGTCTCTGTGTCTCTGTGTCCCTCTGTGTCTCTGTGTCTCTGTGTCTCTGTGTCTCTGTCTCTGTCTCTGTGTCTCTGTCCCTCTGTGTCTCTGTCTCTGTGTCTCTGTGTCTCTGTGTCTCTGTGTCTCTGTGTCTGTCTTGTGTCTCTGTGTCTCTGTGTTCTGTGTCTGTCCTCTGTGTCTTCTGTCCCCTGTGTCTCTGTGTTCTGTGTCTTGTGTCCTTCTCTGTGTCTCTGTGTCTCTGTGTCCTTGTGTCTCCTGTGTCTCTGTGTCCCTCTGTGTCTCTGTTCTCTCTGTTCTCTGTGTCCTGTGTCTCTGTGTCTCTGTGTCTCCTGGTCTCCTCTGTGTCTCTGTGTCTCTGTCCTCTGTCCCTCTGTGTCTCTGTGTCTCTGTGTTCTCTGTGTCCTGTGTCTCTGTGTCTCTGTGTCTCTGTGTCTCTGTGTCCCTGTGTCTCTGTGTCTCTGTGTCTCTGTGTCTCTGTGTCGTCTGTCCTCTGTGTCTCTGTGTCTCTGTGTCTCTGTCCCTCTGTGTCTCTGTGTCTCTGCTCCTCTGTGTCTCTGTGTCTCTGTGTCCCTGTGTCTCTGTGTCTGTGTGTCTCTGTGTCTCTGTCTCTGTCTCTGTGTCTCTGTCCCCTCTGTGTCCACTGTGTCTGTGTCTGGTGTGTCTCTCTGTCTCGTGTCCTGTGTGCCCTGTTTCTCTGTGTCTCTGTGTCTCTGTGTTCTCTGTGTCTCTGTGTCTCTCTGTCCTCTGTGTCTCTGTGTCTCTCTGTGTCTCTGTGTCTCTGTTCTCTCTGTGTCTCTGTGCTGTGTCTCTGTCTCTCTGTCCCTCTGTGTCTCTGTGTCTCCTCGTCTGTGTCTCTGTGTCTCTACTGTGTCGTGCTCTGTGTCTCTGTGTCCCTGTGTCTCTTCTGTCCCTCTTGTGTCTCTGTGTCTCTGTCTCTGTGGTCTGTGTCCCTGTGTCTCTGTCCCTGTGTCTCTGTGTCTCTGTGTCCCCTGTGTCCTGTGTCTCCTGTGTGTCCTCTGTGTCTCTGTCCCTGTGTCTTCTGTTCTCCTGTGTTCTGTCTCTGTGTCTCTGTCCCTCTGTGTCTCTGTGTCTCTTGTGTCCCTTCTGTGTCTCTGTGTCTCTGTGTCTCTGTGTCTCCTCTGTGTCTGTTTGTGTGTGTCCCTCTGTGTTCTGTGTCTCTTGTCCCTCTGTGCTCTGTGTCTCTGTGTCTCGTCCCTCTGTTGTGTCTGTGTCTCTGTCCTCTGTGTCCTGTGTCTCTGTGTCCTGTGTCTCTGTGTCCTGTGTCTCTGTCTCTGTGTCTCTGTGTCTCTGT